TAAATTAAAACGATTACCTAACCACAAAATAAAAAACCCAATAAATTTCAACCTTTGAAAATTAACCCCAAAAATTTGATCCTTTCTAAATTAAAATGATTATTTAATAATGTAACATAATAATTTAAACCTTTAATACTTTAAATGATATTATCTAATATAATATATGACCACGAAAAGTAACTGATATATTACTAAATGTGCCAGTTCAAAGTGAACATACATTATGTTATTTTCTATGTTGAATATGTACCACGAAAAGTAAATGACAGATTATTCAAGGTACAAATTCAAAATGAACATACCTACATATAAGTAAAACAGATTACAATCTGCATATTACAGTTTTCTAGAAAATAACTGCAATGAACATACATAAAATATATTTTCTATGTTGAATATGTACCACGAAAAGTAATTAATAGATCATTCAAGGTGCAAATTCAAAATGAACATACATACATATAAGTAAAACAGATTACAATTTGCATATTACAGTTTTCTAAAAAATTTCTGCAATATGTTATTCTTAGTGCACAAAATATAAAAGTCGGTTATTGAGATTTGATTTGAAATTTATTTAATTTATACTAGCCCGTGCAATGAAAAATAATTGCTTGTAATTCCAGAGTACCAATCTGTTAATGACTCGGAAAAAGAACATGGCGGCCTGCTCTCAAAAGACTGATGAGTTTCTCGTTGTTCACTTAGAAGTAATGTCGAAGCTTGTACGGAGTAATTTTTTCGACACTTGAAGTACGAAAAGTATTACTTATAAATAATGAATAATAAGATTAGATTAGAATAAAATAAGGACCCACCGTATTTTCAAAAGCTCCATAACGATAACGATGTGAACACACAAAATTATGTTGTAATGCCTTTTACTTATGTCATTCTCAACAATACCAATCGAGGCTTGCCGTCATTAATGCGAATATTTAAATCAATCTTCCAAACACTATTACATTTTGTACTTGCACCGTAAGAATGATGTCACTTTTTTTTCAGAGTTAATTGATAAATTTCTTATCTATGCTATAATACAACTAACTCAAAACCGGAAGTTCAAACAAAAATTAGAAATTCGACTAAAGAAAGATTAAATTCTTTTAATCTAAAACATTTTCATAACTTCTATTTCAATCATTTATTCCATCCATCGAAAGTCTTTTGAGAGCAGGCCGCCATGTTCTTTTTCCGTTTCATTAACAGATTGGTACTCTGGAATTACAAGCAATTATTTTTCATTGCACGGGCTAGTATAAATTAAATAAATTTCAAATCAAATCTCAATAACCGACTTTTATATTTTGTGCACTAAGAATAACATATTGCAGAAATTTTTTAGAAAACTGTAATATGCAAATTGTAATCTGTTTTACTTATATGTATGTATGTTCATTTTGAATTTGCACCTTGAATGATCTATTAATTACTTTTCGTGGTACATATTCAACAAAGAAAATATATTTTATGTATGTTCATTGCAGTTATTTTCTAGAAAACTGTAATATGCAGATTGTAATCTGTTTTAGTTATATGTAGGTATGTTCATTTTAATTTGTACCTTGACTAATCTGTTATTTACTTTTCGTGGTACATATTCAACATAGAAAATAACATAACGTATGTTCACTTTGAACTGGCACATTTAGTAATATATCAGTTACTTTTCGTGGTCATATATTATATTAGATAATATCATTTAAAGTATTAAAGGTTTAAATTATTATGTTACATTATTAAATAATCATTTTAATTTAGAAAGGTTCAAATTTTTGTGGTTAATTTTCAAAGGTTGAAATTTATTGGGTTTTCTAATTTGTGGTTAGGTAATCATTTTAATTTAGGAAGGATCAAATTTTTGCGGTTAGTTTTCAAAGGTTTAAATTTGTTGGGTTTTTTAATTTGCGAGCATCTATTTTTGAACATGGCTTGACCTTTTCATTTATATATATATATATACGAGTATATAATTATGAACACAAATTGTATGTTATAGGGTTGTATGTACACACCTACGGACGCGGAGATACGTTGGAACTACTTAAAAGATTGTTATAGAAAAGCCAGAAATTTATTCAAAAAGCAACAAGATGTTGCACAAAGAAGTGGTGCGGCGATAATCGAAGTTATCAGGCCATCTTTTCGTTATTATAACGTAATGATGTTTCTGAACGATACACTGGAATATCGACAGTAAGAAAAATAATACTTATGTAGTGATATTTTAGTTGCTGGATTTTATAGTAAAAGTTTTGCTACTTAATAGAACATGATGTGTTATGGACATTTTTACATGAAAACTCTGACCGTCTCTAACTCTTATTTCAGAACTGCAACTTCCTTATGAAAGACAATAGATGATAGCAAAGCATCTACATCAAGAGAATTTACATCAAATTATGATGAGTCAGATGAAGTATTTTTTATCAATGAGAAGAACGATGAATCAGAATGTAGTGCAATATCAGAGTCCTCACTTTGCACCCCATCAGTGAATTTAAAAAGTATTTATTATTAGTATTATTGTATGTATATATATATATATATACATACATATGTATATGTATGTACACATAAATATTAATTAAATATAAACATTAGAATAATAATTCGTTTATATATTGTCTGGTTAATAGGAAGAAAAAGCAAGCAAGGTATGGATGAAAGTGAGAAAATTCTTGTAGAAGTACTAAAAGAAAAAGAAGAATGTAATCCTATTGATGGATTTTTACTACGTATAGGAGAGGGTATGCGCAAATTATCATATAAGAAAAGATCACGGTTAGAAATAGAATTCTTAAAAAAACTATATGAAGAAATAGAAGAAGAAAGGATATAGTAGGAAGTGTTATATCTCTACAGTTTATTTTATAGTTTAACGATAGTAACAACTATCGTTATCCAGTGTTCCGAATATTGTGATATTACTTATTTGATTTGAAGAGGTCTATAAGGATGTATTAATATCTAAGAGAAGAGAGAGATTTATAAAAGCAAATTATAAAGAAATATATCTTATAAAGAAGTTTAAAGAAAGATGAAGTTAAGAAATCGTAAATAATTATAAAGAAGTTATGTTTAAGAGAAGGTTTATAATAATAAATAGGGATATAGAAGGAAGAGTTATATGTTTACAGTTTATTTTATAGTTTAAAGATAGTAACAATTAAAGATAGTAACAACTATCGTTATCCAGTGTTCCGAATATTGTGATATTACTTATTTGATGTGAAGAGGTCTATAAGGATGTATTAATATCTAAGATTTATAAAAGCAAATTATAAAGAAGTACATGTTATAAAGAAGTTTAAAGAAGGATGAAGTAGTTAAGAAATGGTAAAGATTTATAAAGAACTTTATATTTAAGAGATGGTATATGATAATAAATAATAAAGTAATGTTACATTTGGACTGCTGTTTTATTTAATAATCATTTGTGTAAGCCTTTGCCCACTGCTGTTGAATAGCTCCAGTTGTACAGAAATATTGCGTAAATAAATCTCTAACAATACTCCCAGTTTGAAGTATATTATGTTCTATGACTTCTAGACAATTTTCAGGGTTACGTAATTTTTGAAAACAATTATCATCATCTTTTGGAGGAATATCTACGAGATATGTTCTTTGTTCTATTGAATGTGTAAGATCTCTTGTTATTAAAAAATTATGTAAACAAACAATTGCTTGAACAATACTAATGGCTGTATCAACATTTGTTTCAATAGGTTTTCTGAGAATTCTCCACTTTGAAGCTAAAATGCCGAAAGCACATTCGACAACTCTTCGTGCACGACTTAAACGATAATTGAATATCCTTTTTTGTACATTTAAATTACTCTTTCGAGGATATGGACGCAGCATATAGGGTGTTAATGCAAAAGCTTCATCACCTACTATTATAAACGGTAATTTAGGACCCTTTTCTGAAATAGAACTTGCTTTTGGTAAATTCAAACTGATATATTCCAACTGACGTCCAAGTTCACTGTGCTGGAATATACCGCCATCACTTCGTCTCCCTTCACCACCAATATCTACTACTGTAAAACGATAATTGGCATCTGCTAGTGCCATAAGCACAATGCTGTGCATATTTTTATAGTTATAAAATGTTGAACCACTGTGTGATGGAGCCTATAATATAAACAAAACAAGTAGTTAATAAGTAATTAACAAAGGCAAAAAATCGTTTGTGATAGTACATCAATTATATATACCTGAAGTCCAATGTGCTTTCCATCAATTGCGTCTACACAATTTGGAAAATCCCATATATCCTGGTATTCTTTAGCTTTTTCTATCCATATTTCTTCTGTACATTCAGGGAAAACTATTTCTTTTAAGCCATTCCAAATAGATTGACAAGTTTCTGCTACAATTTTAGACACTGTATTTGTTCCAACTCGAAACGCAAAAGAAAGGGAAGGCATAATATCGCCCGAAGCCAAATAGCGTAAACATATCTCCAATCGAGTAATGGCTGGTATTGGAGCTCTAACAACATTTCGTTTCGTAATATGTGGTTCGATTAACTTCAGTAATTCATTAAACGAATTTATGTCCATTCGTAAATATTCAATAAATTTTTCAGGATCTCTATTTTTCATTTCTTTAATTAGATTGTTGCTTGCTCCTTGTTCATGTCTTCTTTCTTCGGTATATACTGGTCGTACCCACATTTTTCGTAAAACTGCCTCCTTTTCTTTTCTCTTTTTTAAAGCTTTATACAGGAAATAAGCTTTAATTAATTTTTCCCTTCTCATTTCTTTCACCCATCCTAATTGTGGAGTTTTTTCCATTTACTTATTTTGTGTAATAAAAATTTCCTTATTTGTCCTGGTAACGTTAATTGTTCTTTATTATAGCTAGTATTAATAGGATTACATTCTTCTTTTTCTTTTGGTGCTTCTACAAGAATTTTCTCACTTTCATCCATACCTTACTTGCTTTTTCTTCCTATTAACCAGACAATATATAAACGAATTATTATTCTAATGTTTATACTTAATTAATATTTATATGTACATACATATACATATGTATGTACTATCAGACTGTGGTCTGATAACTTCTGTTTTCGCCGCACCACTTGAGGTTATAGTACGTTTCCACCCAGCGCGTAGCCTTGCACAGACTTTTGCATAATGCATAAAGCATGTGCATAAGGAATTTCATTGGCCCATTTTCTTATGCATGAGTCAATGGACCAATCAAATTCTTTATGTATATGTATTATGCGTTATGCAAAAGTCTGTGCTCCCCGCTTTATTCCGTTCGTTCCGTTCCGTCAATATATTTCTCATCATGTGAAACCCAGTTACGAAATAACGTAACGGAATTGCTCTGATTAGTTAACCCCTTCCATTTGCCTTTTCCGTTGTTCTTCCGTTCCGCTATTTCTGACTCCATGTGACTGCACCCTAATAAATATTTTATATTATATTGAATAATATTTTATTTTTAATTATAAGATTT